GCTTGATGCATTGCAAAAATCATGAATGAATTCCCTCCTTCTGTTAGTTCCACTCTTCAAAACCCGGATTCTCCCCAGCTAACCTAAACTTTAAAAACCTTTCAGCGGATCAAAATAATTAAAGAACCAGAAAAAGACTGAGAATTATCAGCTGATGGTGCGTCTCCATGGTTTCGTCTTTTATCTGGACAAAGCGTCACGGCGATACCTTTTTCATGAACGCAAGTGACATAAAACCTCTCTCCGTTTTCAGAGTCCACAAGCTTGATATTATCTTGTCTCGCAACATGAGGCTCTTAACGATCGTGTCAAACAGCATATTTGCAATGGGAGTAGCCTACTCTTTCCGACGCCACTGAAGAGCTTAGACAACGAAGGAAAGGAAGCGGTGGCGCTCACTCTCTTCGATGGTATGAATGTCTCCGAGGCCTGCCCGTTCGAGTACCGGAAGATTATTAGCTCCAGGAAGAGAGCGCTCCTCGCAGCTTTCAGGTCGCAGAGACTAGCTTCCGCGGCGCTTGAACCAGACCCAAAAGCTCAGGTATGGCCGATCTCCTGTTCGCAAGATGTCTTCCCCATGCACGGCCGCCAGGTTTAGCTCAACAGCATAGCCCACGAACAAGCAAACCTCAGACAAGTGGCGAGCCTTACGTTGTGACGCCAAATGTAAACTTCGCGCTCACCGCTTGTCCGGAGAAAGGGGCCGAGTCATAGTTACGACTGTTCAGTTCTCGAGCCTGGTGTTCGGCGGCTCACGCCGCCATGGCTGCACTGTCCTGTTCGGTTTCACGCGCCTCGAGTCCCATGTCTTGCACCGAGATCACATCCCGCGAGGCCACCGGATCTTTGACCAAGGTATCTATCTACACGTCCTAACACGACAAGTTATAGCAGAAAAAATTGGATTATAGAATTTTTCAAACAAAACCACTGATTGAAAAACAGTGTTCAGAATGGATCGAAAAGCGAGCGGACAAAGAGCACCTAAATTACCAAACTCAGTGCGTCCAACATGATGGTAAAACTGGGTCCGAACATGATGGTAAACCTGAAACCGGTTTAGGAAAACGGAAAACGCAAAGGAGGACAGAAGAGCTGGCAACGTCTTGACACATCGCCCGTTTTTTTTTTTTTCTGTCTTCCTACGCCTTTTCCGTTTTCCTACCCCAATATCAGGTTTACCATTGTGTTCAGCGTACACCAGCACGCCTGCACTTGGACTATTTTTTCAGTGGGTTCATGCATGCTTGTGTCTGACATCCAGAAGGTAAGCTTGTCACGAATAAAAGCATAAACTTGACTAACAAAACATAAAAAAACGTATAATGCGGCGAATTTAAGCCTAGAAACACAGACTAACAAAGAACGAACATGTTTTAACGGAAGAACTACTGTTTCAAGTAGGCATGCGAAGCTTCTTTTGAAAGCACGCGGGTATCTAGAAGTTTCTGAGGTCAAACAAACAAGATTTTCGAGTCAAAAGGAAAATTCCAGTCATGCAAACAATTAAAAAAAAAGCACAAGCGCTAGCGGGGTTTAAGCCCTAGCCAGCAGCGTGGGAGTCGAGCACGCTGCTAATGCACCTATTCGCGCGCGGCATTACTCCCATCTTGGAAAAGACGGATCGTCCCGATGCAACACGAAATGAAATTGACAATTTAAAACAAGAGAAGAGCAAAACTACAGAACCACCTAAAACACAAATTTTCAGAGTCCTATCGAGCATAGTTCAGTTCAAGTCGGACGACGTGAATCGCCTTCGGGTTGTAGAGTGCGGGGTCACAACGTTCATGTTCCGCAGTGCAAGGGCTTGCAGTTAGGTCCCTCAGATAGCGAATAACCTTGAGGCCGAAGCACCCCTTTAATAAGTTACTCGCTTCGACGATGAATTGGTGTTCAGATGCACACTTGGTTGCCAGACTGGAACTGGACTTCGTGGCAACAAAGATTGTACCGGCGATCGTCAGCAAGTTGTTCGGCTTGAATCAAAAATGTGGCCGAGATGGAGGACTTCCTCCGCTCGTTAAGTGACAAACCGAGCGTCGTCGTCCTGTTCGTCAACGTGATCGACATCACACTTTTCGTCGGTGTCGTCATAGGGTTCGATATCAAAGTCGTCGTCGAGGTTGTGGTCGAGGTTGTTGTTGAAGTCATCGTCCGGGTCGTCCTTGCGTCGCTGTCAAAGTCGTCGTCAGGGTGTCCGTCAAAGTCGTAGTCGGGATCGTCATCGATTTCGTCGTTCGAGTCGTCGCCTGTGTCATGGTAGGTGCCGTCGTAAGTCTCGTCGTCAAGGTCGAAGACACTGTTTGTCGTCGAGGCCGTAGTCGGTTGGTTGTTGACGTCGTAGCCAGGGTTTGTCTCTCGGTTCATAATCCGTTTCGTCATCAGTGTCGTCGTCGATGTCGTCATCATGTTATAGTCGAGGTCGTAACTAGGGGCTTAGCCGAATCCATAGTCCGGGTTGTTTTCGAGGAAGCCACCTTCACGTTCATCCTTTTCGGAGTTATCGTGTTCACAGGTGTCACGCGTCGCGGGCATTGATTTCGTTGCTCCGCAACTATACCGCAATGTCACAAATAAAACATAAACTTGATCAATAAAACTAAAAATCATCGTTTAATGCTGCCTAATCTAGAGATCTGCTGTTCAGGGCGCAAGTTCAGCCGCTGGAAACAAGGGCGAATATATTCTTAACGGCACTATTCAAATCGAAAGATCTCGCTAGTTACAACCATTATCGACAGGGTCCCGACGCCTAAACTATACTAGAGCGTTAAAACAATACAGGTTTATAAATGATTGTTTTAGATGTTCTTTCTTTACTCCCGCAATTCAGGATTGGAATGAGCTCCCAAACGATACTGCCACCTTAACACCTGCTAAAAATTTCATTACTGCTGCGGACATTTTAATTACTGCAGTTAATTCTTTTCCTGTCTCTATTTATGACTCTACTTTTTTTTGTCGTATGGTGTACCCACTCCTACTAAGGGTCCTTGAGTGGAGCCACGAAAACTTTCAAATAAATAAAAAAAAAAATTCAGACGGCGATTCGGAATCAGACTCAACAACAAAAGCACTTGTTCACCATGAGTTCTTGTGAAATTTATTTGGCTGCAGGAGCTAACTCGCAGTATTGCAGCTTGCTAGACGAAATCCTCAGCTGTGAGGGAAGGATACACACTGCTGAACCGGCCAATAGAGCGGGTAATCGCGGCTAATCCACACTGCTCATACATTATACAAAAGACGTTATTTGCTGCGGACATAATAACTCAATTGCTTGTGAACACGCCTCAAGAATGCTCGAAGCATGTGTGCTTCATACATATTAATCTATACCCCGTTAACACGAACACCCCGCTATATCGAAACTATTTTCAGGGACAAACTGGAAAAAAAAAAACATGCATTTTTGTCTCGTTATTCGGGAAACCTCACGTTATGGATGACTGTTTTGGGGCTAACGGAGCTTTTCATATCAACGAGACGTCACTGTTTTGGCTTCGAGCACGTCGGCAGGCATTTTTTTTTGTGTCCAATAAATGACAGGACCGTAATACAATGAAGACTCACGCTTCAGACAGCGTCTGCGGACCGCTTTTTCTATGATGTGGTGGCAGTGAGACCGCGGCTTTAGGCAGACAAACGAAGTGCTGGAGCGGAGCAGACGAGAGCTCTCTTGGCTCTCTTTACACGACGCTACGTCAAAGCTTCCGCTGTTGCCAACGCACCGGCCGTTTGTTTCGTAAACGCAATCTGACAACTTTGCCCTTCTTTAGAATTCAAGAGACCCTTTTGAATAACCAGTCCGTCTACCCTGTTCAAAGTAAAACCAAATCTACCTAAAGATTCCACCGCAAGAAGGACGCGTCTCTCGCATTGCGGCGAATTCTCGTTTAGCTTTAGCCTGTTTGCGGCTTGGGGCGGGTCGGGGCTCTTCTCACGATGACGTCACGGGCAGGCCCTGTCTTTTAGGTGGTAGTGGTCAAACCAGACGCTCTCATGGCGGCATCTACGCAGCTTCTTCACAGCGGAAAAAGCGGACGTCTTCCAAAAGCGAAGAACTGAAAGTGGGGAATTAATAGACCAATTTCACCGGGCACAGTGACTGCGCCATCGCTGCCGCAATGCATCGAGGGAACTTTAGTCTTTCTGCACGTGCTGAAACTCCGATGGAGCTCTTCGCGTGTGGTGCACGAGACGGTACGAGCCCTCGCATGCACGGCCGTCAGGCCTCCTGTGAACAAAGGTTAGGGCGGCTGAACGCGCTGAACACTTTGTGAGATTGGTCTATAGGGAGTATTCACAGGACGCCTTATTTGTGGGTGCTCTTTAGAGCGCAAGCTCAGAGCGAACTCCCATGAATAGGCTGTTAAGACCGGCAATCTTGATGGTGCGGAATGCACGCGGCGAAAGAACTGTGAAAGCTCGGCGTCAGCACGCGCTCAGCAGTCGCGCCCACAGCTATGGCCGCCAGTGAATACTCCTTATTCAAGCAAGGTGGTCGTTGACGCCGCCTTCGAATTCATGAGGTCGAGGGTCCGTGACACAGGCGAGATTGCTTCCTTATCACGACCATTACACCGTATTCACACTGGCTGTTGAACCGCGTTCGCAAAGCGGCTGCCAACGCGGTTGCTTAAGGATGCATTACAATTTCACGCTCGTGCCATGATGAAAACGAGCGGATCCGCTTCGCGGTTGCGATTCGAACGCCAGGGGTGAATGCAACCTTTAGATCGGTAGTATTGGAGCTGCTTAGATTGCCACTCGATGTCTTTGACTTTTAAGTGGGGTCAATTGCCTGTGCGGAGAAGGTTAAGAATAAATAAACAAAAAATCCACAGAAGTGTATTTCTAAAAGGCAATGACGCAAAAGTGTCATTGCTTTCTTAAAGACAAAATCTCACCAGCCAACCTCTTCCCCGAGCCTACAAAAAATAATTTTTTTTTTTTTTGATGCAGGTGCTGATTCGAATTATCCACGTGATGTCCTCATGCTATATAGAGCGAACGATACAGGGAGAGCAGCAGTGGTTACGACTTACGAGAACCCTCGTACCATCGACAAAGAACTCAACATGTTCGTCGCATTCCTCTTCATACCTGTTGTGGCCGGGAACGTCTTTATGGAAGGCAATATTCGGAATGTTCCGGAAATTACCGAAAGAGAGTCCACGTCGACAAAAACCTACACGATATTTGACCCCTGCAATACAAACAAACGTGAGACCACCTTTTCATCGATCCACGTAGACCGAACAATGTTCAGGGGGAATCATTAGGTCCTTGGCAGTGACACGCCCGGTACAATGTACACTAGGCGACACTATGGAGTTTTCGTAGGCCTTTTTCCTCCTGCCGCTAAGCCCTTCCGAACGAAGACGCTACTACTGCGCCTTGCATGGAAAATCTCGGATCTCGTAGCGGGTTGCGGAGAACCTTGCGGGACAGCGGAAAGGGTCCACCAAAACTCCCTACTGTTCGTGCAAAAGCAATATCTACAATTAATTTGCTTTTAGTTTTATTTCGAAAGGTTATTGCCGAGCTCGAAGTTTTACGTGCTAAGTTGGATTCCGAAGTGAGCACTTCCCACCATCATAGTAGTCTTGTATTACTTTTCTTAGGTTTTAAAAGAAATGGAGAAAAAACCGGGAATTGCTTTTTAGCGCTACGCGCATTGTGCCGTGGTGTACATACTGTAATGGCGACGTGCGCCATCGAAAGTGTCACTGTGGTCGACCTGCAGCGATTGGCCGAATGCTGACTATGACATCGGCAAAGGTTTTCTCATCGACAAAAATGAGAGTAGCCTACCAACTTCAATTTTGACGGTATCGGCAGTGTTGGTTTCAAAGCGCAATCATTTCAAGCTTCCGCCATGCTCATTACAAACACCATCGAACTTGTTGTTCGCAAGGTAATGACGTCACGAGAGGGAACCATAGGAGGGCGCCACCAAAACACTTCGCCGCCAATAACGTCCACTATCCTTTTTCAGAATATTTCAAGCTTGCCATTGTTTTTTTGTGTATCCAATGTAATTGTGCTTCCCTTCCAAAAGTGAATGAGCGCATACAGTGGGCGTCTCTAGAGACAGTGGCACTCGGTGCGGTGACCCATCGCGACCCCGCCCTTAGTGACGCCACCGAGTGAACAACGTTAGCCTTGCCTGCTAAAAAAAAATGAAAGCCGCTTACAACTCCCTGTAACGCCGAATTAGAGCGCAGCTCTTGAGGAGGAGGAGGGAAGGGCACTGGGGGGGGGGGGGTTAAACTAACCAGGGGGGGGGGTCACGTTACCTTGGGGGTCACGTGACCCCCAATGCCGATGGTGTCATCACTGACGTCACTGATGACGTCATCAGTGACGATGACGATGCGGGTACCGATGACGTCATTAGTGACGTCACTGATGACTTCACCAGTGATGATGACGATGACGATGCGAATGTCGGTGACGTCATCAGTGACGTCGCTGATGACGTCATCAGTGATGATGACGATGACGATGCGGATGCCGGTGACGACATCAGTGACGTCACTGATGACGTCATCAGTGATGATGACGATGACAATGCGGATGTCGGTGACGTCATCAGTGATGATGACGATGACGATGTGGATGCCGGTGACGTCATCAGTGATGATGACGATGACGATGTGGATGCCGGTGACGTCATCAGTGATGATGACGATGACGATGTGGATGCCGGTGACGTCATCAGTGATGATGACGATGACGATGCGGATGCCGGTGACGTCATCAGTGATGATGACGATGACGATGCGGATGCCGGTGACGTCATCAGTGATGATGACGATGACGATGTGGATGCCGGTGACGTCATCAGTGATGATGACGATGACGATGCGGATGCCGGTGACGTCATCAGTGATGACGATGACGATGTGGATGCCGGTGACGTCATCAGTGATGATGACGATGACGATGTGGATGCCGGTGACGTCATCAGTGATGATGACGATGACGATGTGGATGCCGGTGACGTCATCAGTGACGATGACGTCATCGGGGGGTCACGCGACATCGGCGGGGGTCACGTGACCTCGAGGAGGGGGCCACGTGACTTCGGGGGGTCACGTGACCCCCCACGAGGTCACGTGACCTTGGTGGGGGGCTCGCGCGGTGCATTATGGGACATTTCCCATGATGCACCGCGCGGTTACGCCGACGCCGACGGCGACGGCGACGCCGACGGCGACGCCGCTCAAGCCGGAAACGGGCCCCTAAGAGCTGCGCTCTAAAACGTTTTAGAGCGCAGCTCTTAGGGGCCCGTTCCCGGCTTGAGCGGCGTCGCCGTCGGCGTCGGCGTCGCCGTCGGCGTCGGCGTCGCCGTCGCCGTCGCCGTCGGCGTAACCAAGGTCATCCCAAGGTCACGTGACCCCCAAGGTCACGTGACCCCTCCCAAGGTCATCTCAAGGTCACGTGACCCCCTGAAGGTCACGTGACCCCTCGAGGTCACGTGACCCCTTCCAAGGTCATCTCAAGGTCACGTGACCCCAAGATGACCCCACGTGACCCTTTGAAGGTCACGTGACCCCCAAGTCACGTGACCCCTCTGAGGTCACGTGGTCGCCTCCCCAAGGTCACGTGACCCCGAGGTCACGTGACACCCAAGGTCACGTGACCCCTTCCAAGGTCCTCAAGGTCACGTGACCCCACGTGACCCCCAGGTCACGTGACCCCTCTGAGGTCACGTGACCCCCCGAGGTCACGTGACCCCTCCAGGTCACGTGACCCCAAGGTCACGTGGGGGTCACCTTTGGGGTCACGTGGCCTTGAGGTCACCCCCAGGTCACGCCTCCCCGAGGTCACGTGACCTCCTCCCCGAAGTCACGTGACACCCCCCCCGGAGCATATTAAAGAATGAGGGGAGGAGGAGGAGAAGGGGGAGGGGTCTACCCTCCCCTCAGTACCCTTGTCTCCTCCTCCTCAAGAGCTGCGCTCCAATTCGGCGTTACAGGGATTTGTAAACGGCTTTCACTTTTTTTTAAGTAAAGCAACAATACAAAAAAAAAGGGGGACTGATTGGTGAATCTTCGCGTCATCCTTGATTAATGGATTTGTTAGAGAGTAACTAGACACGCCTCGAACTTTTCAATCCTCCGATCTTTTGTATTTTAAAGTCAGGACTCGTCGGGGTCGGTCGTGCTCATCCGCTCCTCCTCGGGAATCGTTTCACACCTGCCAGCGAAGGCTCGAGTACGATTAAAAAAGTTTCTCCAAGATGCCCTTAGAGGCGTCGGCTGCGAGTGCTTTTACTTAATGTTCTGTGACGCCCTTTGTTTTTCTTCTTTTTGCCCCTCCCCCACTATAATGCCTTCACGGGCGCTGTGGGGTACATGTAATAAATAAATAAATAAACAATTCAGGAGATAAGGAGGGGGGAGGGGGGGGGCACATCCAGCGGGGAGGCTTATTGACTTTCAGACCCCTTTTCCGAAATCCAGCCCACTGTACAATATACACATGCATTTTGATTCCCTTTCTCTTCCACCGCACACCAAGTCAGACATTCCAGCCACCACGGCCAGAAAATATCAATGATTGGGGGAGTTGGAGCGAAACGGCTGGCCAATCGGCTGCGGGTTGGGCTCAAGGCTGTCGCGCCGAGAACGTGCTGGCATAGTTGGCCTTGTAGCTATAGAGCCCCTTGCATCGTCGTAAGTTGAGCCTTTGAACGCGATCGGCTTTATTAATGGACCTGGGCCGTTTATTCTTCGGAGTTGAGAAACGCAACTCGCACCGGCAAAGAACGTTGGTCGTCGTCCACCTCGCCGCGCACCGTCAAAGAATGCAGCGTCATGTAACCAAAGCAACGGCTCAAAAAAAAAAAAAATCCATTGTATAAAAAAAAGTGTCGTGTTTGTCAAAGCTTTTGCCGGCCGGCTTCGACGGATTTGATGCGCTCGCGTTTCACAGCAGCCTTCCACGTTCCCTTACTTATAACTCCCAGGGAAGAAGCCGATGATCCCTAATTTCCGCTGTTTACGAGTTTCAAACGGCAGCGCACTCCGAATGAACATTCTGGCTTCGAACTCGTCTTCATTGCGCACCGCTTCTACATTTGGCATTCGTTGTTTCGAGCGGGTATACGGCTGGCGGTGAGGACGTGATTACAGATAGCTCATACACGAAGTCGTCCTGAATTCTAATTAACTGTAACTTTGGTTCGTCATGGCGCTTCAAGCTCTTTCTGGCCCCCCGTGAAGATAGTCCACCTTATTAAGCCTACGAAGTTTCTCCAGTTAGCGAGGAGAGCCGCCCGCGTACTTATAGACTTGCCTAATTGAGCACACGAGTGTTGTGCACACCAACACACAATTCCGAAGGCACCACACTGAACGGCGAGAGCAGCACACGACACAGGGCAGATTCAAATCACAAAAATAGGCGTCGCGCACACGCTCCGATGAGCCCGACACGCCGATTCCCGATAGAGCGATGGGACGCCCGCAGCTCTCGCTCATTTTAAAGATATTTTTCTGTATTTTTCATATTTCTCGCTCAATAAAAACGCTTTTTTCAAAGATTAAGGATGGTTTATGAAGTCATATACGTTATTTAGCCTGCATAAAATATGTTCTGACTGCTCTTGCCGACTGCCAATCACAAAATGCTTACAGGTGATGACACTCGTCGCTTGTTTTCAACACACTGTGTCGCCACCGGACGCTGAGCTGTTTTGCCCCATCGAATTAAGTTATGATGCGCTCATGTTTTGTGGCCCACTTCTTGTTCTCTAAGTAGCCCAAACTAATCGAGAGGTAATAACATATAGAGATAAGAAACTCAAACAGGCTGAGTGAAACTGCCTTCTGTACTTTCTCCCAAAACCTTGTACAAAAAGAAAAAAAGAAACGTGAAGTTTGAGCGTGCCCGACGGTACGAGCCGAGGACCCAGTCAAGTAGTGCCGAAAGCGCAACGTCACGGCGTCCGCCGTCTCTCTGCGAGCGCTCAGCCGCTCATTCATTCAATCAAACGCAGAGAGAAACAACATACAAGACTGTTTTTTTTTATGTTTGCATATCTAGCAAAGTTCTCTTGGGTCGTTTACTTTGCATCTCTGACCGTGTGTCACAAATTAACAATCGATGTTGCGCACCGCTGGCCGAAACGCCGGCGGATGTTTGAGAAGTCCCTCTTCTTTGAACCTTGATAAGTAATGTCTGCTTCACGCACCTTTATTTTTCAGCTGGAAATCGGACGAGAAACTGTTCCCAGAAAAAAAGGAGGGACCGCAGCGAGAGCGGTGAATGTGAAACTTATATTCGCAACGATCCAGTAAATGTAACATGTGACATGACGTCCGATGGCGGCGGATGGACAGTAAGTGTCTCCTCATAACGCAGCGAATACAAAAAGCGTTTTTATAGATAACTTTGCCCTCTTTATTTTGTTGAAGAGGCAAGGTCGTCGAAAAGGCGTAACGCAACAATTTTAAAGGGGTGTCAGTAGCCGATTGTGTTAATGCACCGCAGCACGTGGATTCGAGGCTCGATCTGCACAAGCCCGAAGATCCTGGATTTAGCCTCCACCTCAGCCTGTTCAATCTAGATTATCATCATACCTGCACGAGGCCATGTATCGCTATGTACTGCATGGTCCACTTTAAAACACCACGTAGACAATCGTACCGCACCGTAAACATTTCTGATCTACGGAGTGCAACAATTTTGCCATGCTCAGGCAGACTAATCAAAGACTGTTCATACGTCGCGACTAAAATGTTGTTTTTGCAAGGATATGGAGCGTGTCACTTTTATTTCGTTCATCTTCGAAAAATTAAAAAAAAGCAATCTCCTAGAATATCTCGATTCCACCAAGCAATCATAGCAACGAATCAGCAGTTTTTGCAATTATCTGCTGAGTTTAAAGCTTGCATGTGAGCAAATGTGCCAAGAACGTTTCCCCTCCCAAAATTCACTAAACAGGGCGTCTTTAGTGCCATCTTATTCGACATAGAAAGCCAACCCTTTTTTTTCTGTTTTCGTAAAGAACGAATTGAAGCGCGTGTTTACGCCTCTTCTCGCCAGAAGTTGACTGCCGGCGGCCAACATCAGCGATGCCGACTGGTTGTGATGTTCGAACATGATCAAACCGAAGCTTTGAAAGTGTGTGAATCCGACGCGGAAACCTTCGAACCACAGGAGAACGGAAAGAAACTTTGAGCGGGTTGGTGAAGATGATTGGAAAAACAAGAAACAATAAAACATGTAGGCACGAAGACAGTGCAGTAACAGTGAACTATAGCTCAGTGTAGAAGGGCTCTTTCAACTAGCAACCGACATTTAATGATGCCCCCGATGCCAGCCTCAATGCGTCAGCCCTTATCTTCCTTCGCACTAAAAAAAGGGTGTAGCTCTTACACCCCTTGTCACATATACGACACCCCTATACTTCAGTTGGGCGTACAGCGCGCTGACGTTCAGCCGACGCTACTAACATTCACGAGCGGCTTGATGGCTGAGTTGTACTACTTATCAAAATAGCTTACGTAAGTGTAACTGCATGTAAACAAAGTTATAAGGGTTTTCTTGGCCGTTCTGTAAAACCTCAGTGTTTTCTTTATGTGATTTTTGATGCTAATTTAAGCTGTTTAATATCTTATATATCACCGTCATCAAGCCTTTCATAAACGTTGGGGCGGTCAGCTTGATCTCAGTGCGGTGTACGGCGAACTGAAGATTGTGGGTGTCGTATATGTGACAAGGGGTGTAAGGGCTACACCCTTTATCTTAGAGCGTTGAACCAAAAATCTATCGGAAAAAAGAAAAAAAACACACCTCTGAATGAAGAAGTAAACCCGGGAGAAGGAAGCGAGAGAAGAAGAAAAAAATTCGAGGACACCTAAGCACTTCTTATGAGTTGTGAATGCGACTCCATCGATGTCATCTTCCGCTCCCTCAGTTCGTCTGCGGTGTACTGGCGTGGACGGCTGCGTTTCGCTACTGCCGATTTGGCGGCCGCCGACGGTATAGATGCATCAGGCGCCGTCATGTTCCTTGGCGCCAAGAAGAGCAGAAGGGGCCGCGGGCCACCCACCCCCCTCCCGCAACGCCTGGCACGAGAGCAGCGGCCCAGAGCGCGCGCTCTCGTGAAGCGGCCACCAATGGCTGTCTAGGAGCCGTTTTGCTCAGCCAATAGGAGAATGGGCATATATTTCGCGTTATAGAGATGAGGCAGCGCAGCCTTTTACGGCGCTCCGTAAAAAACAAACAAAAAACACTCAATTTGATGTGTATTGAAAAAGGGGGCGAGGGGTGAAGGAGGTTTTTGAAGGCAACGCAAGGAAACAAAAATATGAAGTTAAACTAGGGTCGCCACAACTTTTTACGGCGTACGATAGAGCAACACCGCTGTACAGCCTCTGTCTGTTCTAGCAAATCCCTCATTGAAGCCGACGTCCGGCGACAAAGCCTCTTTAAAGACAACAGCTAGCTCAATTTGAGTGAAGGTTTGTTGTCGTTTTTCCCTTAAATGGTTTTGCCATAACTTGTTTGTTCAGTCATTGTAAACTGAGTTTAAGAAAGTACAAATTTGAGGTTTATAATATTAAAGTGGAAGTTTGACACGTTTAGCGAAATTAACAGTGTTTGCATTAATAACAAAACCTAAGTAAACGCTAAACATAGTTTCATTATATAATCGTAAATGCATTTCAATGTGTTCATTTCGATATTTTTTGCGTCGTTTTACTCGCAGTATTTCGTTGGTAAGCAATTTGTGAGTGTTTTTCTAAAACGTTTTTTATTTGACGTGTTTCGTAACTTTTCTTGTGTGGAACTCTTTTATTTTAACTTTTAATGTTCAATGTACACGTCGTAAACCTTTCATAAAATACATTAAAAAACTTTTTACTACGTGCATGCTTCGTTGTGAAATTGAAGGCTGTGCAATGGACCATAGCGAAACCTTCGCCACGCCTCGAGCTTCGAAATTTTATATCTCCGGAAGAAAATTAGCTACGCCGTCCTCACATATCTGAATGCGCCTCCCAAGAACATGGCTTTCGCATATATATATTCTTTATGTAAACATAACGAATATGACCCAGACCATCATTGTACGATCTGATGTAGAAACACCCTGTTGTAAAAAAAAAGAAAAAAAAAAAGAAATCCGGCTTTTCCCGGAGTATTTTTCATTTGCCCTTTTCTGTGGAGAATTACGATAACGGAGGGGCATTTAAGATTATGTGTACATTTTTCTATCAAGACGTGCACGCTTCAGGCACCCAAAGCGTCGCTTCTGCACTGACGATCAAATCTTGTAAGAACTTAGCGCGGCGTATGAACAAGGCACAAAAGTTTCTTTTTTTTTTTTATTTTGAGGAGAAAGCGCAACTAGTGAGATAGAACAAAGCCACGTGTCTCTCCCCAATAGGCTAATTGGATTATTGGGAGCGTAGGCTTCGCCTTTTGCCAAATTACCTTGAAACGTGTCTATACTCCCTCTAAATAAAACCGTGCAGTACAGTCAAAGCCAGAGGGGAGGGAGGGTATGTCAACCTGTTCAAGAGGAGGGAAAGGATAAACGGTAGCGAAGGGCTGTGTCTCCTTTCCCTCCTCTTGAACAGGTCGGGATACACTCTCTCTTCTGTAGCCTTGGCTGTGCTGCTCGGTTCTATACTTCGTTTCAGCTTCGGTCCGAGGGCGGCCGATGTCATGAGCCGAAGGGTGAACCAAACAGCGAAAGAGGCAGACCGTCATGGCGTCCTCTCTGCGGTTTATAGGACCAGCCAATATTCGCCATCTCTCTGTGCGCGCTCCTCCGCAGGCTAGTCCTATTAAGCGTAGAGAGCACGCCATGACGCTGCGCTTTGGCGCTGTTTGATTGACCCTTCGGCTCATAACATCGGCCGCGCTCGGACCGAAGCTGAAACGAAGTATAGTGAGCAGGAGAATAGCTGCTACCCCAGCCCGGCGGAACAAATGCGGGTACATTCTGATTCCCTTCGGCTGACTCATCTATCGACTTCCAGGTGATTCAACGTCGGAGCGAAAACGAACAGGGTGACAATTTTTTTGAAAGAAACTTTACAGAATATGAGCGTGGATTTGGAACTCCCGGGGAAAGTTTCTGGATAGGCAAGTACAAATATATCAATCCTTACGTATTTGCATCTCAGAAAAGGCAGCCCCTTATATCTGGAGCACAAAACAACTGCTTTCAAATGGCGCTCTTGCAAATTACAACGGTCGCGCGAAAGCTTTTTGTCGCACGAGGGACGGGGCAGTCGCTTCCGGATTGATTTTTCGGACCGGTCGCAGGGTCGCAGTCATCGGCGCCTCGGACATCCGACAGTTCCTGTGGGAATTGCAAAAAACGTACCCGTCTATTCCCGACAGTTCCCGGCAACGTTACTAGATTTGCTACGTGTAACGTTGGTTCGCGGTAGAGGGCATGGATAAAGAAACACGGAGGTCTCTACGGTGGCTCTTATCAGCGCTATTAAATTGTACTAATTTCCCTATAACAAGCACCATCCCTGTTTGAACAGAAGCCCAAAACTGAACTCGATCTGATAGCAAATCCACGGCTTTTGTCTTCGCAGGTACGCATAGTGAACCGCAAAAACTCGAGTGAGTCAGCCCCAATGTAGCGACTCTTCTTTCATTGTACGCTTCCGAAAGACGAAGGTCAATAGCACGAGTCTTTCTCTTGTTCTAAAATTACGTAGGAGGAGCTGTGCGACAACAAAAGCTGGAAAGCAGCAAACACGAACCCAACCGCACTGGAAAAGTTTATATCAATTCATTCAGAAAGTCTCACAAGAAGGCATTTCCTGTAAACTTTTATACCGGACGTCCTACAGGAAGGAACTCCCCGTTTGCTTTTTATATAGGAAGACTTACAAAACATATTTCCCTTATACGCTTCCATATAGGAATCCGATATAGGTAGCTAAATCCTGTATGGCTTCACAAGAGAAGTCAAAGAGGCAATAAATTGTAGTTCCTATAACAGCCATTAGAGCCACAATCCTGGTCTCTACAAAATTGCTCTACCATATTTTACTTCTATGCATATGATGCTCCAACTCATTTAGTTTGGAGAGGGCATCGGGTACTAAACAAAGTCTAAGTATAGAGCGGGTTATTAACGCTGTGGCGGGCGATCTTTTTCAAGCATTTGGCAGCATCGACGACCGGACGTCCTACACCATCAACTCCAACATCAGTACCGACTACTAATTGTGATGATGATGATGCTAGCGGCGCCATGCATCCGTGGCGCGAGAATAAAGACAAGAAGTGTCTGGCATCTCGAGCTGCCTGCACACGCACGCTGAGAACGATGGTGTTCATTCCTTCCTGTCCCCCGATTTACTCGGGAAAGCTTATAACAAATTGGCGACGAGGGTAAAACCTGTATTATCTCCTTACGGCAAGCATTAGCCGTGTTCAGCTCCACCATGCCGAAGTACGGGACCCTGGAAGTCTTTGACGGGGAACCAGCGGACTGGTTAGAGCACATGGAACGCACCGCGCTCTTCTTCGAGGCCAACAGCATTCCTACTGCAAAAAGAAGGTCAGTTTTTCTGACGTCCTGTGGTGCTAAAACGTACTCCATTCTGCGGAGCTTTCTGACCCCCAAGGCTCCTAACGAAGTGAGCATAGAGGAGATTTTTGGCGCTCTCAGCAACCACTTCACCCCAAAACCCTCAGTGGTAGTCACCCGCTGCAAGTTCAACAGCCGATGTCGACACACGGGAGAATCTGTGAGCGACTATGTTGCCGCACTCAAGAAACTAACCCAGCACTGCGAGTACGGAACATTCCTGAATGACATGCTTCGCGACAGACTTGTCTGCGGCATCAATGACTCCACAATGCAGACACGGTTGCTTGAAGAGCCCAATCTCACGTTCGAGTCTGCGATACAGCTTCTACTAGCGATAGAAACTGCCAAGAACGATTCGAACTTGCTAATGAAACAAGGAAAATGTCAAGCGGCGTCTGAAGGTATCAACGTGGCCAAAGAAGCTTCATCGAAGAACATCACTTGCTATCTTTGCGGAGGGCCTCATTATGCGTCTGTGTGCAAGCACTCGAAAACAAAGTGCAACGCATGCCACAAGACGGGACACCTTGCCAGTGTGTGCAAATCAAAGAAGCAGCAAGGCCAATCCAACAATTCTGGACAGAAGAAAAACGCTCACAAGCGTCCTGTCTATGCTGTTGACAATTCCGAACAGTCGTCCACGAGTCAGCCACCCGGGACGTACAACATGTGGTCACTGAAATCTTACATATCATCACCTCCATATGTTACTACTTTAGAAGTGGCGGTGAAACCACTTCGGCTAGAAGTGGACACCGGAGCCAGCGTCTCCATCATCGGACAAAGAACTTTCGTAGAAGAATTTCCAGAGCTTCAATGTGAACCTTCGGATGTCATCCTAAGAAGCTATCGCGGTGACCTTTCTAAGGTTCAAGGCAAGGTTGTCATACCTGTTCGATTTCTAAACAAAGAAGCAACGCTTCCTTTGTATGTCGCACTTGATCAGACTCCTACACTCCTTGGAAGAGATTGGATCAACGCCCTTGGAATAAGTTTGGTCGATGCGAAAGAAGTTACCGCTGCATCCAGCATGGAAGGAATTCTGAAAAGTCACAAGGACGTTTTTTTTCCGACGGACTAGGAACGCTGAAAGGTGTGAAAGCTAAGATCACCATCCAAGAGGGAGCGCGGCCCAAGTTCTTCAAGCCTCGCACGATTCCGTTTGCGCTACAGGACAAGGTTGCTCAAGAACTGCAACGACTTCAGCGCGATAGAATTATCTGTCCTGTGAGAACATCCGAATGGGCAGCACCGATCGTGCCTGTTCTAAAACGTGACGGCCGCGTGCGGATCTGCGGTGATTTTAAAGTTACTGTAAATCCTGCAACCATTCTCGAGAAGTACCCGGTACCCAGATTGGAAGATCTGTGGGCCAAACTTTCAGGAGGCGTCAAGTTTACCAAACTGGACCTGAAGGACGCATACCAACAGGTGGAGCTCGAGCCTGAGAGTCAGAAGATTGTCCCCATCAACACTTCAAAAGGACTTTTCAATATACCAGACTACCGTTTGGAGTATCCTCGGCTCCTGCAACCTTCCAGAGAGAAATGGAAAACCTACTACAGGATATGCAACACGTCGTCGTATACTTTGACGATATTTTCGTGACTGAACTCAATGACAAAGACCACCTAAAAAATCTTGAACAAGTGCTGCAGCGTCTAGAGGACGCAGGTCTCAAGCTCAAGCTTCAAAAATGCACTTTTATGGCCCCTGAAGTGGAATACCTTGGGCATGTGATTGAAGCCGGAGGACTGGAGCCAACGCCACGCAAGGTAGAAGCTGTCCTAAATGCGCCTCGACCAGTTGACCTCAAGCAGCTTCAAAGCTACCTTGGACTCGTCAACTATTACCGGCGTTTCCTTCCCAACTTGTCCTCAGTACTTCAACCGTTGTACCACCTGCTCGCTGCGAATACATCATGGCGATGGGGGCAACAAGAGGAGAAGTCTTTTCACAAGAGCAAAGAGCTCTTGACATCTGCAGCAGTACTTCAACACTTTGATCCTAACAAAGAGATCATCCTCAGCTGTGACGCATCTCCTGACGGACTCGGCGCTGTTCTTGCCCATCGAGATTCAAGGGGACAGGAACGTCCCATAGCCTTCGCCTCGAGAAGCCTCCTACCAGCTGAGCAAAATACAGTCAGCTGGATAAGGAAGCCTTGGCACTCGTTTTCGGAGTGACGAAGTTTCATCAGTACCTTTGGGGTAACCAGTTTGAAGCCGTCACTGACCATAAACCTCTCCTTGGACTTCTGGGCCTTGACAGGGCCATTCCAGAGAGAGGATCACCTCGAGTCATACGTTGGGCAATTACACTAGCAGCGTACAAGTACAAGCTGGTCTACCAACCCGGCCCGAGCATAGGTAACGCCGTTGCGTTGAGTCGCTTACCGTTACCAGTGGACAACTTCCAACTTCCGCGGCCAGCTGATGTACTCATGTTGGAAGCGGCGTACCCTACTGTTCTCTCCGCCGCAGTCGTTGCACAGCATACCACGACTGACCCAGTGTTGTCACGAGTAAGACAAGCACTGTGGTCCGCTAGCGATCTCCCAGGAGGACCACAGTGGTCGCCTTTTCGAACAAAGGTGACAGAACTCAGCGTCCATGAAGACTGTTTACTGTGGGGATCAAGAGTGATCATCCCACTCAGGTTACAAGAACAAGTACTTCAGTTACTGCACGAAAGCCATCCAGGAGTGGAGAAGATGAAGTCCATTGCACGAAGTCACGTGTGGTGGGATGGGCTAGACCACAGTATCACGGCAAAGCTTCAAGATTGTCGTGAATGCCAAGAACATCACCGTTCAGACCGGAAAATACAGTCAACCCCGTGGCCTTTTCCAGAACGGCCATGGTCCCGCTTACATGTTGACTTTGGTGGTCCATTCCAAGGACGTTATTTCCTGGTATTGGTCGACGCATACTCGAAGTGGGTTGAGGTCATACCGGTATCGTCACCCTCTGCTGATGCTACGATGAAATGCCTTCGGAACATCTTTTCGACACACGGTCTACCAGATATTGTCGTTTCGGATATCGTTTCGGATAACGGTCCGGCCTTCGTAAGCGACAAGTACAGCGAATTCCTAAGCCGCAATGGGATCCGACGTTTGCTGATTCCCCCTTACCACCCAGCATCAAACGGAGCTGCGGAACGCGTCGTGCAGACCGTGAAAGGAATGCTGAAGAAAGCGTCATCTGGAGATTTTCAGACCAAAATTGACAGGATGCTTCTGACATACAGAACTACAAAGCATTCACTAACAGGTCATAGTCCAGCTGAGCTACTAATGGGCAGAAAGCTAAAGACAGCCCTAGACCTCCTACATCCGGACATGCGGAGTGAAGTACTCTGGAAGCAGCTGAAGCAAAAGTTACGCTATGACCAAGGAGCACGCAAAGGCCCTCTACCTCAGCATGGTCAAAAAGTGTTTACCCGAAATTTCAGGTCAGGGCCTTCATGGCTTCCTGGGGTTGTTATACAACCATCGAGTTCATCATCTGTGCAGGTGCAA